GTGACAAAGGGCAGCCCTGCCGGAGTCCAACATGCACCGGAAACAAGTCTGACTTACTGCCGGCGATGCGAACCAAGCTCCTGCCCCGGTTGTACAGGGACCGACCGGCCCTTAGCAAAGGGCCCCGGACCTCGTACTCCCGGAGCACTCCCCACAGGGCGCTGCGAGGGACACGGTCGAATGCCTTCTCCAGATCCACGAAACACATATGGATGGTTGGGCAAACTCCCATGAACTCTCCACCACCCTGAAGAGGGTATAGAGCTGATCCAGTGTTCCGCGGCCAGGACGAAAACCGCATTGTTCCTCCTGAATCCGAGGTTCGACTATCAGTCGAATTCTCCTCTCCAGTACCCTGGCATAGACTTTACCGGGGAGGCTGAGGAGTGTGATCCCCCTATAGTTGGAACACACCCTCCAGTCCCACTTCTTGAAAAGAGGGACCACCACCCCGGTCTGCCAGTCCAGAGGCACTGTCCCCAACCGCCACGCGACGTTACAGAGGCGTGTCAACCAAGACAGCCCAACAACATCCAGAGACTAAAGGTACTCAGGGCGGATCTCATCCACCCATGGTGCCTTGCCACCGAGAAACTTCTCAACTACCTCGGTGACTTCAGCTTGGGTGATGGACGAGTCCACTTCCGAGCCCCCGGCTTCTGCTTCCTCATCGGAAGACATGACGCTGGGCTTGAGGAGATCCTTGAAGTATTCCTTCCACCGTCCAACGATATCCCAAGTCGAGGTCAGCAACTGCCCACCTCCACTGTAAACAGTTTTGGCAGAGCGCTGCGTCCCCCTCCTGAGGCGCCGGACGGTTTGCCAGAATTTCTTAAAGGCCGAGCGATAGTCCCTCTCCATGGCCTCACCGAAATCTTCCCAGACCCAAGTTTTTGCCTCCGCAACTACCTGGGCTGCAGTCTGCTTGGCCTGCCGATACCCGTCAGCTGCCTCACGCTCCCAGACCAGAGTTTTTGCCTCCGCAACCACCCGGGCTACAGTCCGCTTGGCCTGTCGGTGCCCGCCAGTTGCCTCAGGAGTCCCACAAGCCAACCAAGCTCGAAAGGACTACTTCAGCTTGACGGCATCCCTTACTTCCGGTGTCCACCACCGGGTTTGGGGATTACCGCCACGACAGGCACCGGAGACCTTACGGCCACAGCTCCAGGTGGCCGAATCGGCAGCGGAGGTGGAGAACGTGGTCCATTCGGACTTGGTGTCTCCAGTCTCCCTCGGGATCTGGTTGAAGCTCTGCTGGAGGTGGTGGTTGAATATCTCCCGGACAGGGGGTTCTGTCAAACGTTCCCAACAGACCCTCAAAATGCGTTTGGGTCTGCCGAGTCTGTCCAGCTTCCTCCCCTGCCATCGGATCCAACTCACCACCAGGTGGTGATCAGTTGACAGCTCCGCCCCTCTCTTCACCCGAGTGTCCAAGACATACGGCCGGATGTCAGATGAAAGAACCACAAAGTTGATCATCAACCTCCTGGCCTAGGGTGTCCTGGTGCCATGTGCACTGGTGGACACCCTTATGCTTGAACATGGTGTTCGTTATGGACAAACTGTGACTAGCACACAAGTGCAATAACAGAACACTGCTCTGGTTCAGATCGGGGGGGCCGTTCCTCCCAATCACGTCCCTCCAGGTATCACTGTCATTGCCCACATGAGCGTTGAAGTCCCCCAGTAGAACAATGGAAGCAATAAGCAAGCCCACACCAGCCCATTGCCTCTCACCGCGGGCAACTCCAGAGTAGTGGAGAGTCCAGCCTCTCTCGAGGAATAAGGTTCCGGAGCCCAAGCTGTGCGTGGAGGTGAGCCCGACTATCTCTAGCCGGTACCTCTCAATCTCCCGCACAATCTCGGGCTCTTTTCTCACCAGCGAGGTGACATTCCATGTCCCCAGAGCTAGTCTCCATGTCCAGAGATCGGGTTGTTGGGGCCCCTGCCTTCGACCGCTGCCCGGGCCACTGTGCACCAGCCCCCTACGAATCCTCCTGCAGGTGGTGGGCCCACGGGAGGACATCCCCACGTCGCTCATTCGGGCTAAGCCAGGCCGGGGCCCGGCCACCAGGTGCTCGCATCCGAGCCCCAACCCCAGGCCTGGCTCCAGGGTGGGGTCCTGGTTGCGCCGTACCGGGCGACATCATGGTCCTTGATTTAGTTACTTTACCTTCAAATGGTTATGACTTTTATGGCCTTCAAATTAGATTCCATTACTGTATATTCCTAAGAAAGCTTGCAAACCCCTTTTTGTGTGGCTGCCTGTCATTGGACTTTGTAGGTATTTTCTGTAGCAGGTTGCCATATTCCAGTTCAAGGTGGATGTATTGTTGGCAGTATAACTGCTGGAAAAAAAGCTATAAATATAGAAAAGACTAAAGAAGATGGACATTTTTTAAAGCACAAAAATATAAAAGATAAAATGACAAAATACACATTAAAAATCAATTTAAAGTAAAACTAAAGTGAATTAATTAAAGCGGATAAACCCATATCAGGAGCTAAAGGATTGAGGGGCTCATAGCCGACATTATACCATATTGTGGAAATAGTGCTATAAAAATGAGCTTCCACAGTTTCCTATTTTGGGTATGGAAGAGGCTATTGTGCTGTTTTCCTTTAATAGAGGTAAGTATTATAGCACCTAACAACCTAAAAAATACCCTGAAGAATGTGTGCTGCTCCAAAATGTGCTTTGAACGAGTGTTCCACCTCACTTTTTTTTTTTTTTTTTTTTTTAAACCAAAAAATCTAATAAGCCTCAACTGCAGTATGTTAAAGTAATATTTGGTCAGGTTTTAATTATTGGAGTCTGTTGATAAGTACAGCAGCTAATAGTGACAAGGTCCTACTGACAAATGCAAAACAGAATCACAAGTGCAAAAACAAATATGCTTTGCTAAAAAAAAGTAACAGCCAGAAGTTCCAGTGAATGTTACCACAGTGAGCCTCAGCCCACAGTCAAGTGTTTCCTTAAAAGGAGTCTGCCTGTGTACTCCACTCTGTCAGGTGCTACAGTTTGAGTAGTGTTTTTCTCAAACTAGTTCCATCTCCAAAGGAGAAACGAGTAGATAGACCGGCAGAGACGAAGCAAATATCTAGAAGTTTCCTGCTTTATATCTGCGTCAAAATGAAGTCTCTGCTTCTGCTCTTGTTCCATTTGTGATTTTCAGGTAAAGTAAGCATTTTGGAGGAGGCAGCTCTTGATTCATTCCATAGTCAGATAAGTCAGCAAACTGCCAACAGTGATAGTGACCCCAAAGTGAATCTGACAGCACATGATATCTACAAAGAGCTGCGACTGCGCGGCTATGACTATGGGAAGACTTTCCAAGGCATCCTGGAGTCCAACAACAACGGTAGGACTAATGTGTGGTTTGTGTGTTTTTGAACATTTTTAAAGGCTTTTTTTGTCCTCATTAATTTTATTATAGTACAGAGTTGTCATTGCTATAGTGTGATACAGACTAAATTAATTCAGACATATCATCCCAACTTAAATAATCATTTAATATTACAGTTATTCTGAACAGAGTAGTAGTTAGCTAAGCCATCTGGTAGTCTCACATCCTAGCAGTAATTAACTATAGTGAACAGTTAACTGTATAAAATGACATAACTTCCTATTCATAACAGAATCAGACAAATGAACAAACGAACATAAAAATGAATACTAAACAAAAATAAACAACTGGCATGAGGTGACTTTGTTCCCCTTGTAAGATAAAAATTCACCCTAACAGAAACATTCATAAACACTTATATCTGAATACATCCCTTCCTAATACTAATCAATAAGCCCAAGTAACACTACAAATCACTAAATAAACCTTATTTTCCTACCTCATCCAAAAGGAAAAACAGATCAACTTTTATTACAGAGACAAACTTTTGATCTAACAGAGCAATTCTACACTAAACCAACTCCCTACACTCTAAAAAACATGCTCGTACGCACAATAAGTACTGCTTTAGCATGGCAGAACCCTCTACTTTCTAATTTCTGATTTGCTAATTTCCTAATTTCGACACCTTTAGAATTTAACGTATAACACACTGAAAATAAACAGTCATAGAAAAGAAAGAATAACCGACCAGGTGATCCTCTTTCCCCCACACATAACACAGTTTCAATGACACGCACGTCTGTACTGTAAAACAAACAGCTTCAATTCTGCTACAATTCTTTGTCCACTGCACGTCCAGACAAAAACCCAATGGGCAAAATTTCGGGACGATCCCCATTCTTTTCTTTTGTGACTTAAAACCCCCAATGATGATGAATGCTGGGGAAAACTGTCTCCAGGCTTCTTTTAGGGCGATCACCAACAAGGCCTGCAGTGAACCTGATTGTAGGAACCAGACATAGTGTAAATCCTAAAACTGAACTCAAAATACAACATAACTGTAACACAAACATTTGTAATGTAACTAAACTACTTGTATAAAAGCTCTAACCAAAAATCTTCTGCTGAGATGAGCTGAAAATATGAAAATACTCAGTGACAACTGTTATGCATGAATTGTGTACAGTATGAATATATAAAAATATAATGTCCAAGTCCATTGTCCTTTGATCAGTTCAGCTCCTTGCAGTTTCACTCTGTCACCACTTGCTTTCTTCCATCCTCACCGGCTGCAATGTCTCTCTCTCGACTGCTCTAAGCATGACTGACCTCAGTACCTCTGACTTGCACTCCCTCCTCAAAGGGTCAGATAGATGAGAACACAACTAGGTCATAACCCGTATTGTCATCAAGGGGAGCATCAGCTTCACTCAAACTCCCTCCTCATCCAAGGAATCCCTTGGATCACATCTTCTCTCTCCTCCTCCGGGGAACCTTCACGTACACGACATCTCTTGCTCTCACTTTGGAGTCTCCATCCTTTTGGGCCTCTCTGTCCTGCAAGGAGGAAACACAAACAACACAGACCACACAGGAGGTCCTGCACATAGCATCAACACACCCCGAGCAGAAAAACGCACAATCTAAAAGAACTACCATTCATCAATTTTCAATTAGAAGAAAAGTGTTATAAGCAGAAGAATGTACTAGCATCTACATGAAGATATTACTAGATCTGAATAAAATAACGAAGTTGTGACAACTAACCAAAAGTGCAAATGACAGTAAAGTTTACCTTAGGTTACCTCCTGAAGAGAGCCCTCCTGTATTGAATTTTAGTCACAAGATTCAAAATATAACATGATGAGAAATAACCACTGTATGTGTCCACACATCACATTACATTCAGAACACAGAAGTACAGTATCATGTGTTTGCTTGATTCGCTTTCCCATCGCCCTGTACACTCACTAATTTATTTGTCATAATATTGTCCTTTTTTCCCCATATCACATTATGAAAATGGAAATCTAAACAACTATCACATCCTTGCCAGACCCTCTGGTAGAACTACAGGGTCCCAACATTAAAACAATCACTTAATTAACCAATTGTGCAATTGATAAAAAGTAATCTACAACCTTTTTGATAATCAGTCAGCTATTTCCAAAAGCTAAAGCTTCTCTGCTTTCTGTTTCTCAACTATTCATTAGGTTTCTTTATTTCATATGTCGGTACATTAAGTTTGTTACTGAGTAAAAGAGTTTGATATCAGGACTTTGAGATCCTAGTAAAAATGACATGTGACATTCACAACTCTATAAAGAAAAAGATCTGGAATCTGTGGTATCACATTAAGCTGGACTACACCTAAAAAAAGAGAAGACGAAAACTAAACCAATCAATGTAATTAAAACATCATATAACCATGATCCTCAAATGATCAGCGTACAAAAACCTGAAAGAACACAATAAACATAAATGCTAACTGAGCTAGTGAGAAGCCGCATTTCAATTATTTCAGGTAAATTCTTTTAAAAATAATTTCACATAGTCTGGGAGAGTGAAGGCCAGCGTGGACTTGTAAGAATGATTAATTCAACAATTCATGTTCAACTCCACAATATGTATTTTCTTAACCATGGTTGATCCAGGAGCCCCAGCTACTTTACTGTTACTGTCTTTATCTGTAAGAGGACACCACTTGTCCCTCCTCTGACCAAACTGTTCATATACCGTAAAATCCGCACTATTGAGCGTACCTGACTATAAGCCGTACCCACGAAATTTAAGAAGAGAACAAATTTTGTACATATATAGGCCACAATTGTCTATAAGCCACTGCGCACGTGTCTACGTTGCAACATGAGATATTTACATAGGGTGTTACACAGCTTTTGTCGTCTTTTTGGATTGAGTCAGTTCTTCACGCTGCCTTCTCCAACGTTGCATTGATGCCAAGCTTACGTGCAGCAGCTGTATTTCCTTCTTCGACAGCCAGATCGATCGCCTTTAACTTGAAAGCTGCATCATATACATTTCTTCGTGCGTTTTCTATGATGAGGGTGTGTGCATGAAGCGCAAAATGACTGATCTGAAGAATTTAGTGTGAGTGCATTTGATTTAATTCGAGCAGTTTCATTGGTCCGCTGTGACCTGTTCGGTAATCTCATTGGTCTGATGTGACCAGGCTAAATGTATTGGCGGCATGAAGCTTGTTAGCCTGTAAAAATCCATAAATTAGCCGCATCATTGTTTAAGCCGCGGGGTTCAAAGCTTGTGACAAAGGTAGCGGCTTATAGTCCGGATTTTACGTTACTTCACCTGTTCCTTACAATACAGTAATTTTTGCAGTGAAACTTTGTCCCTATTCAGCTAACATTGTTAGAAAATCAAAGCAAACAATCAGAGTCATGAAATCCCAGTGACACGTCTCATAGTCCAGTACACATCATTTCCTCAATGTACTGGAGGACATTACATGAGACCTTACCTGCCAATTTCCTCATGCAATCCTGCTAAATTTATTAAAAATATGAGAACAGCAGCACTCTGAAAGATGCAGAACATAAGTCAATCATATTAAACCACTTGACCTCAGGTGGAACATCCAACAACAGCGCATGTAAATTTGAAACTTCAGTTTAAAAATAAAGATTTATGAGAATTAACACACTGCTCAGATAATGTAGAAAATGTACCACTTGATACTTAGTTTTGTCCACTGTCATTGCGGGCAAAATTGAAGTATTATTGCATAGATTTTGCTACATAATCCTTGAGCCTGTATGTTTTAACCCATAGTCTGTTTTCACTACAAAACGTGAATAACTGTTTTCCCTTTTTTTCCCTATTTTATTACAGCTACCTATTTCTCTTTCATGAGAGAAAACTATATTTTCTTATATTGCTTTTTGTTGTATCAACTATGTGAGTGTACTTTAAACTTGGTTTGAAAATATTGAAGAGTGCAGTGAATTTGACAGACAGGGAGTGAGGCCTCTTGACAGATCATCATTAATAAGTTCATTCACATTCTAACAAAATTTTATAAAGGTGTTATCCACATCCAGACCAATACACCATGGCCTCGGCTTTTCTTCTCCTTTGTCCTTTTGCCCCCATAGTCATTTGGTTTTGTGCAGCCAGAACCACAATGTCACATTCCAGACACCAGTTCTTGCAGCTCAGCAGTCTCTTTCCTTCCTCTGGAACTGCAGGAAATAGAGTTTTAAAAAGTCAGCATGACTCACACTATCTTTATTGTTGTCCCAGTGATGAATACTTAAGAGGGGGGACCCTGCCCTTTGTTCATTGGTCCCCGTGCCCCCGGGTTGCCCTGTTGACCCTGGGTAAATCTGCCACAAGACCACTCAGGGCATCTGTCTCTCACATCCTCCCGCAGTGGAAGCACCTTGCTCTTTGGCCTGCAGGAAACCTTCTTGTCCTCTGAGGCCTTCCAGCCCACCCCCCGGTTGTGCGTATATCAGCTGGGGGATGACAACGGCAGGCACTGAAGATGGAGGGGGTCTGGCTGGCTCAACAGGAGTCACAGGCACAAGCACCTTTTTTCTTCCATCTTTTTCCAGCCGGGGAACAAAGCACCCCTTCACATTGGTGTGACATTGGATGTTTTAGATTCAACCGGTTCTTTTATCTGAAGGCCCCAAGAAGTAACACTCAGGAAACAGGAATCAGCTTTACGTAGATTTATTTTCTTCTGGTTAAATGCAGAGTTATTACAGCGCTGGGCTCTAAGAGATGACAAGTCTCCAAGAGCTCTGATAATAGGAAGTAATTCACATATATCTTCTCGGGCTGGGACTGCCCTGTACATGA